AGTAAGAAAGTAACACTAATCTGTTACTTTATAATTTGTTTCCCCCAACTAGAGTTCAAGAAGTTGTCACTACAGTTGCAGCTTCAAGTTGTGTTGGTTTTTAAAGTATTGTGACGGTATTAAAAGGTATTAAATTTAACAGGATTTCTGTGTATACCGTGTAACATCCTGTAAAGGTTACAATTCAGACATTCAAACGTGGAAACTGAATTATTCTTATGTTAACACAGTTCAGAGCCATTTGAGTCACACTTGATGTGAATCTTCACTGAAAACATACCAATGTGTCGTCTTTAATAGTTGTCTAATTTTTTTTTTGTTGTTGTCTTTTCTTTTTGGTTCTTCTTAGCCGAGAASAGCCTGAGCCGTGTGTTCCGGCAGATAGACCAGAGCATGAAGGTTCTGCTGTTAAGAACATCTCCGTTCCCAAACGGTCTGCAGAGACGTTCTCCTGTTCAGGAAAAGACATGACGGGCTTTCTGCAGAAGGTCAAACAGTTGATTCAGTCAAAAYCACCAAAGTGAGTTAAAACAGGAACAAATTGAAACAGTTTGATTCTATCTGAGTGCATATCGGATTATTTCCTTAATTTATACGATATATCAGTGAATAACAAACGTATTGTTTGCTTTTTAACTTTCAGGAAAACAGCTGTTAAAGCGCCTCGACTGCCTCTTCCTCCTCCTGAGCCAGAAGAGGATTTTTTCATTCTGGAAGACGATGTGCCSCTTTGGATTTCCATCCCAAGTAAAAGTTCTACGAGTAAGAGACAAAAACTGAGCAAAGCTTCCAGCTCTGACAAAGAGAGCTTCACAAACAGTTCTGTGGATACGCCACAAGAACCAGAAAAGACCAAAAACAAACCAGAAAGTCAGGTTGTTGTTCAAAAACCTAATAATAGGAAGAAAAGCAGCGAAAAGAATACAGAGTCTGAAAATCATAAAGAGAGTTTGCCCGGTTCAGAGGAGAATCCTGACCCGGTGGAGCAGCAGGAACCAAAGAAAAGGAAACAAACGAAGAAGTTAAAAGAGAGCAACAAGACAAAGGWTCATCCTGCAGGTGATCCTGAGGAGCAGCGTGAAGAGAAAAAGAAACGATTAAAGKTTTCRTCAAAAGGGAGCAGCGAGGATGAGGATCATCCAGGTGACCCAGAGGAGCAGGATCAACCAACGAAGAAGAAACAACTGAAGAAGKTTTCWTCAAAAGAGAGCAACAAGACAAAGGTTCATCCTGCAGGTGATCCTGMRGAGCAGCGTGAAGAGGATCATCCAGGTGACCCAGAGGARCAGGAACAACCAACRAAGAAGAAACAACTGAAGAAGTTTTCATCAAAAAGGAGCAACAAGACAAAGGWTCATCCTGCAGGTGATCCTGAGGAGCAGCGTGAAGAGAAAAAGTCAAAAGGGAGCAGCGAGGATGACGATCGTCCAGGTGACCCAGMGGAGCAGGAACAACCAACGAAGAAGAAACAACTGAAGAAGTTTTCATCAAGAGGGAGTGACGAGGTAGAGGGTCTTGAAAGAGATGGCATAGAAGCAGTAAACTCACATAAAACTGAACCAAAAAAGCAGAAGTCCACCAGAAGGAAGAATTTAAAGGAGGGTAAAGAAATCAGCCCAACAATCACGACCGACTCATTACAGAAGAGCAGAAAGCAGCTTCAGGGCTCTACTGCTGTGACGTCTGGGGCTGATGAAGAGTTCCAGGAGCAGGGGGAGGAGGAGCCTGCAGGAACTGAACATCTGGGTTTGTTTTCAGGTAAAGCCTTTCTGTTGTTTTTCACTCATTACATTTATTTATTGTTAAAGTWATGCCACATTTCTTTTACTGTCGACTTGCACTAAAAATCACGCTGCGTCTTTAAGCTTYATCATTAAATAACYCCTTAACTTTATACAGTATGGCAAAATCTATTGCAGTCTTGTATAAGAGTTATTTAATAATAAAGCACTATAATGCAATAAGTGTTTCACATATGATTTATTGTATTGAAGTCTGGGGAAATGCATATAAAACAATTACTAATCCTATTTTTATTTTACAAAAAAGAGCCATAAGAATTATCACAAGAAAGCATTACTATCACCTGTCTAATACACTGTTTCATCAATTAAAATTATTAAAAATTTATGAGTTAGTTGAATATCATTCTGCAGGTTATGTATAAGGCTCATAAAAATGTGTTGCCTTCAAACATCCTATCAAATTTTGTAGAGGGAAAGCTGCTATAATTTGAAGGGACTACAAATGTTTATTAAACCAAAAATTCGAAGAAATTTGAAGGACAGATGCACTTCAGTAAAAGGTAGAAGACTATGGAATAATCTGGAAAATGAATATAAAAGCATTGGATCAATCACTTTGTTTAAAAAAAGTATCAAAGCAAAATTGTTAAAGAAATATGAAATTGTTTAATTTGTATTTGTATGAGTCACTGTTTGAGGAGGTGAATTTTTTGTTTTGTTTTATTATTTGGCTTCATATTGTTTGAAATTAATATATATTTTTTTGTAAATAGGAGAAGATATACGAATTTTTTCTTCTGCTGCCTTTTATTTTTCTGTATTGTTTTGATGTATGTGTTTTTATTTTAAATGAAATGAATAAAAAAAAAAACCGACCAGCCCTTGCCCCACAGAGCACCCCTCCCCGAGACGTGCTGAAGGGGGAATGTTAGAAACGGTAGGAGGTTCTTAAAGAGACATAGGTCCATTTCAAGATGTTTTTTTGTAGCTACTATTCAATAAATGCAATTTATGCCTGTTTATCCACTTTGTAACTTAATCCTTGGTTTGATGTGATGATTCACATTGTTATGGGAGAGTTACTTAATTGAATTATTTATTATTCCTTTTTGTCAGGAAACACAAGAAATCAAATATTAATTATGTTTGGTTTGTTTTTCTGCTCTACAGACACAGAGGCGGATAGAGAAGCTAAACAAAAACAATCAGCCGAGTCCRGAGAGAGTTCCTCCGAAGACGTTCTCGTTCGTCAGAAAAGAAAGAGGAGGCCGACTGGTCAGTGGTGGTTGACTTCGAGCGCAGAGGAAGCAGGAAACCCACAATCACCCAAGAGGTCCAAACAGAACAATAACAGGGAGCCCAGGACGGCTCCGTCAACTGAACGGGTCAGAAAGGACAAAAAAGACAAAAAAGTTTGCAAGCAGCCTGTGTCGTTATCCAGCGATCATACGGACAAAACGAAAGAACGTAAAGGCAAACAGACTAAAAAAAGAAAGAAAAAAGGAGAAAAGGTGAAAGAAACGGGTGAAATTGTCAACGCCACTGAGGAGCAGCAGGAGGACCYTGATCAGGAGTCGTCCAGCCCCTTGGTTTTTACACACAGAGACCTCAGTCTTCACTCAGGTATTTTTACATTAAAAACAACATTTTGGAATCAATAAACTGCTCTCAGGATGCACTGGAGCAGGTATCTCAACACTGACTTATGATCTTTTGTCACAGGAAGTCAGATATTTCATCGGGTCTATCATCACTCCTCCAGTGAAAATATGTCTGTCACATCCACAGCAGCAGAGGAGCAGCAGCCCCGAGAACCAGAACCAGAGCCAGAACCAGAACCAGCCAAACGGAGGAGAAGACCACCGAGCAACTGGTGGGAAGTGAACAGCTCTGCTGATGTTCCAGGAAGCGCCTCCTCACAGCCTCAGCAGCCTCAACATAAAGAACAGAAAAAACAATCCAAACAGAAATCTGGACTCAGCAACATGGCAGCCGGATCACGGCCACCAGGGGGCGCACTGGTGCCTCTTCTGAAGCCACTGTCTGCTCCAAAGACTGTCAAACGCTCCCTGGCAACATTTAAAGACATTTTTACTTCAGGGGTAGAGACCCCCACCGTGTACGCCAGTAACAGACGCCATGTCTCGTCCCGTCCCGCGGAGAAGGATGCTGAGTTTGTAACCAGCGGCGAAGCTGGCAGAGATGAACTCTGTGGGGATGTCGGTGAATGCAGCGGCATGCAGCACAACCACAAGACTCCACCGGACGGAGCGTGTCGGGCAGAGGACACGTAAGAACAAAGAAACATTTTCCACACACCGTCTCTGCTGTCCTCTGTGTGTGTCTTTGTTTGTTACATCTGATTATTTCTGCAGGATTAATGGCTTAAAGAGTGGCCCCTCCTCCATGATCAATCTGGGAACGTTTGAAGACGAGGACTCTGGTATGTTTTTGTTTTTTTAATGTTTTACTTCACATTGTGTGTGTGTGTGTGTGTGTGTGTGTGTGTGTGTGTGTGTGTGTG